TTCCCAGAGGGGCCTCAGCATGGGCAGGGGAAGGGTGCCCAGAAGTTTCTCCGGAGAAGGGATGGCGACAGCTGCCTCCTAATGCCTTTCCCCCATCCTGGACTGGCAGCCCCATAGCATGGCTGGTGGGCAGCCAGCTAGAGGCCTTATCTTGGCAGGGGCGATCCAGGCACCTCGATCAAGGTACAAAGAAAGTCCCAGCTTGGAGGTGTAAGATCCTTGGGGGGACCTATCTGCTGCAGTGGAGGCTGTGGGCTCCACTTCTCCAGACCAGCAGTGTGTAGGGCAGGCGCCAGAGTCACGCGTCCCCAGGCACCTGTCACAGGCATGTGTGTGTCTCTTCTGGCCAGCTTGAGTCACAAAATATGAATTACATAATTTCAGTAATCCCACAGATGAGCTAAATGTGCTGCTACTTGCATTTAAAACTGGCATCACACTACATAAAAGATGAATAGTAAAGTTCATGCTAATAATTTAAATTTTCAAATTCTTTTTACTTATAGAATTAAACAGCAAACAACACCACAATAAGCAGAGGGAACTTGGAAGAAAGGACAAGGCTTTATATATACCTTTACTTTTATCTATTTATTTATAAACTCTATTTATTTATTTTTGGCTGCATTGGGTCTTCGTTGCTGCGCACAGGCTTTCTCTAGTTGCAGCGAGCGGGGGCTACTCTTTGTTGTGGTGCATGGGCTTCTCATTGCAGTGGCTTCTCTTGTTGCGGAGCATGGGCTCTAGGTGCGCGGGCTTCAGTAGTTGTAGCACACGGGCTCAGTAGTTGTGGCTCGCGGGCGGAGCTGCTCCGCGGCATGTGGGATCTTCCCAGACCAGGGCTCAAATCCGTGTCCCCTGCATTGGCAGGCGGATTCTTAACCACTGCACCCCAGGGAAGTCCCATATGCACTTTTAGTGATACTTGTTTCCTGCTTTTTGAACCACATTTTTATTTTGCATTGGGCCCTGCAAATTATACTCAACATTTACATCAAAGTGGTTCTGTTAGGATTAATCTGTGGGTATACCATAAAGGCCTGGTAATCAGTTTCTGATTGTATTTCGATATTATATCTTTGATAGAACTACGTTATCAATGGTGTAATAAACCTATAATAAGATAACTAATAAAGGAGCTATTTCTTCCCATTTATGACATTATAACCCTTCATAACTTGGTCTTATTTCATTAAGCTAAAAGGATTAGCATTGCCAGGAAAACATCACATGAAAAATGTGATGGGCATAGCAAGGACTGCTAATTCATATTAAAAGTCAGACATGTAAAAAAAATCCATCAAAACCAAAATAAGTTTCCTTCAAGGGTGGGGTATATTCCAACAAGTTTCAGCTGAGATCAGGTTTCTCAGGAGTGGTACTCTGACAGTTAGTTGTGAGGGCCGTCCTGTGCACTATAGGATGTTTAGCAGCATCCCTGGCCTCTACCCACGCGATGCCAGTAGCACCCTCCCTCCAATCATAACAGTTAAAAATATCTCCAGACATTGCAAATATACCCTGGGGGGCAAAACTGCCCCCATAAGAACCACTGGCTTGGACAAATGAGATGGGTAGTAAAGTGCCGTATAGCTCTTGCGAGCATCACATTCTCTTCCCTACCCTCCAATGCCTAAATATCATAAACACAGACTCCCTCCAACTAAGATCAACAAATACAAGCGACATGAATACAGGAAAACTAAAGAATTCTTTTATTTAGTGAAAAAAGAGTGGGCAAATGACAGACAGCTCACATACTGTTAAACAGAATAAAAAGGGAAAGAAAAAGAGTAGAGACATCATAGTGATGGATTTTCACAAAAGGTGACAGATTTAAACTACAGAGCAAGGGGCTATTTATAAGCAAGATGTCAAGGTATTAGTGACCAATCTATATCCAATTAGGTTTTCTCTAAGCTCAAGAACATTTAAAACCTCAGACTTAAATTTTAACTCTAGACGTGACAATTGTAAGCACACCACTTCAGTCCCTTAAAACTTCTAAGTGCTGCTCCTGGGTAAATATCTTTTTCTAATATTATTTCCCCACCCCAACATATAGAATATAACATTTCATGTTCCAGTAGTAATCACACACAGGATTAAAAACCCAACCAGCCAAGAAAGTGTTATTCTTTCTATGAAGCGTTCTTTACAAAAGAAAAATGAAAGGGGTAGACATTGGTACAATTCTTTTTTTTTTTTTTTGCAGTACGCGGGCCCTCTCACCGTTGCGGCCTCTCCCGTTGCGGAGCACAGGCTCCGGACGCGCAGGCTCAGCGGCCACGGCTCATGGGCCCAGCCGTGGGATCTTCCCGGACTGGGGCATGAACCCGCGTCCCCTGCATCGGCAGGTGGACTCTCAACCACTGCGCCACCAGGGAAGCCCCATTGGTACAATTCTTGCTGAAGAACAGCAAGAGTAATACCAAACCACCCTGCTTACTATAGAAAAGGCACAGCTCGCAGACCCAAGTATACAGGCTACAGCAGTCGAATACCCATCTCGAAAGGGCTGGCAACATTAAACACTGTACACAGGTCTGTGTCTCTGGGTCAGGCTAGCGCATGCCCAGGATCTGTCTGCTTTTCAGTTGGTAAGTTTTTTCAATGTCTGACAGGGCTTGAGCGCGAAGCTGAGCAGCATGAAGCCTTTTTTTCAGGTCCTTGCACTTGGATTTGAAGGTGAGCTGATTCTCAGAATTCTCACTCCTCATGACATTCTCCTTACTCTCCCCACTGAAATGAACTTTCTTCTTCATTATCGAGGATGTAAGATCAAAAAGTTCTTTAGAAAAAAAAAGAAAAAGGTTTTTGAGTTTCATGAACAGGAGATGAACTCCTCCATACTTATCAAACTTACCAAAATATTTATTGTCAGTTTGCCTGTGAAATCTGGGTACCTGTTTATTCTCTCTGGGATAGGAGTGTTAAACAAAATTCAACTGAGCAAATATTAAAGATCTTACTGGCTTTATTCAACAATTCATAAATCGGGCAGCATCCCATCCAGAAGACAGAAAGGAGTTCCAAGGAGCTGTACAAAAGGAAAGGCTTTTATAGGTAGAAGGGGGCAGGACAAGGAAGTTACACCAGCAAAGGGGGGATTGTCTGTGGCAAGGTCACCTTCCTTTAGGGGACAGCAGGGGTCTATCAGGCAGATGACCTCACTAGTGCTGACCAGGTAATTCCAGATTAACTGGTTTAAGATTCCATTCCTGAGAGAGGCTGAAACTGCCAGTAAGTTAGGTATTAAGTCCTGATTTGGTGACGTTTGGTGACCAGTGACTCCATTTTGGACCTGTTGTCTCTTTTTTAACAGGTTAGGGGCATGAGGTTGGCAGAAATCAATCAGCCTTTTAATCTGTAGCCAAAAATCAAGGAACCTATGTTTTATTCTCTTGACAATCAACATTCCTCTTAAGGTTAAATGCACTGAGGATTATGGGCCACAATATAAAACTTCTGGAAACCAATGTTATTTATCTCTATTCTTGAAAGCAAGTGCCATTCTACCTAGAACACATTACTTCCAGAAAAGTACGGAAGCAGAAGCAGAAGCTCTTTCTCATAGCGAGCACCTACAGTTTTGGCTAAATACTTAAGAACACTTAAAGCACTTAAAGCGGCTTAACTGACCAGAAACTTCTTCCAAAAAAACCTAAGCAAGATTCAGCATTGGTAAAAGTAAATCGAGTTAACAGTGAGAGAACTGTACTTTTAACATGAAAAAAATAATAATTTACTTAAAGTGGCTACACTATTAGGAACTGACAACCATCTGTGGGTTGGGGACTTGAAGGTTTGAATTCTAGAAACTTTTTGTTTTTCCTTTGTGTTCATTTAAAGGAAATATGTTCAAATATTTACTGAGCTCACTGTATGAGCCGTTGTGGACCAAACAAAGACCCTATTGTGGTAGGAGGAGATAGACCATAAACAAATAAACAAGCCCATATGAGGAATATTTGAGGATGGTATGTGCTGTGAAGGAAATGAACACGGAGAGAGGGAGACAGAGGTGCTGGGGGTGTTGGCCGTGATGAAGCTGCATAATAAGGTGACTTCTGAGCAGAGACCTGATGAGAGTGAGGAAGTAAGAAGTCACGTGACTATCTAGAGATGACTATTCCAGTCCAAAGAAATGGAGACGCCCTGAGGGAGGAGCAGGCTGCACAGAGAAACGCTGCCCTCCAACTGTCCCAACTTCCTATTTCATGCACTGCTTCTCTGCAAAGCATTTTTAGGAGATTGCTTTTAGGCCTCAACTCCATTGTTTCAAATAGATCCACCTTTATTACCACAAACACCTACACATTTGTAAACAGACAGTGTAAACTGTAAATCCTACTAATAAGACAGTTTTATAAGAAAGTGTTTTAAAAAAGAATTAGTATTTCATTAAATAGACTAATTAGAGCTTTTAAAAAGATGCTGTTGCTTACTGTGATGATCTCAATTTATTTGTTTTCCTCATGTCTGAATTTTATAGCCCAAGGATGGGGAGAGGATATTTCCAACTGTCTTCAGTTCACAAGGGCACCCCCTCCCCACCGCTTTGTTGCTTTTCTTAGGGCTCTGACATGCTCATTACCTTAAAATACCTCCTACCCACATTGGACACCATTCCCACAGCTCATTTTAAGTCTCTGCCATGATTCGCATACCGGTAGATTCTTCTACCTACGTATCCTACAAAGTGAAACACGTCATCCTTCGCCAGCTCTTCTCACCCTTCGCTCAAAGACTCTCAGGGCAAGATGTAAATAAACTCTTTAACTGGGAGAGCCGTCCCCAACAGGACCTTCAATATAATTCTCGGCAACGGGCTTGATGCATGACACTTACCCAGATAAAAATCCCTCCTCACTCTATCACAGTAATCATGATTTAAGTCTAGTTTATCTTTATGGATGGCAGTGTGGAATCTAAGAGAAGCTGAAATAAATATTATAAAAATACTGAAATGGTAGATAGCAATATTGAGAAAAAAGATATTTACTTCCATCACTGGTTTCATTTGTTTCCATCACTTATTACAGAGCATATGCAGATATTAAGCAATCACGCTTTGACATACACATGTTTCAATTGGAACGGGTCTTAGCAAAGATCCAAAAGTGATGGCCTATTCTACAGTTGGTTTATCACACCTTTTAAGCCATACTTTCTATGAAGGATGTGGCAAATATGAGTTGGTCGTGTGGTAATAGTAAAATGCTAGGATTTTCACTTGAAAATGGAGAGAAATGTAGAGTTTTGAAAATATACCCAGAGAAAAATCTGAAAGGCACAGCATTTTTTTTAAATGACCTAGTTTTTAAAAATAAATATCAAATACTGAACACACAGTTTGATAAAGCAAATAAAACCGAAGATGAAATCATCCTGACTCATTGCCTCATGTCTCTGATCACAGTTAAGTCAGTCACTGCTAAAACAGAATTTTTATCTCCACTGAAACGCATATATTCAATTAACTCCATCATAAAATTCGAGACTCTGGAAATTTAAAGGGCTGCCAAAGCCACCTTCGGGGCAACAATGGTGCCCATTTCCTCATTTGTGGCACCAACTTCTGTTCTCTGAGCTGGTTCTCATACCTGGACCACCCGCCAGAGACAGGAACTTCTGGTCCTTCAGCAGGCTGTAATTCCTCAACAGACTTTCTGCTCTGGCCAGCTTGTTCTCTGCCAGTCTCTCACGAACACAAAGCTCACGTTCCTTCTCTTTATGAAGGGAATGGAACGAGAAAGAAAGAAATTAACAAGTGGCATAAACAATTCACATTTGGTAATCTTTTCCTTATCGCTAAGGCTAACAGCTTGACCACCGATGAGTCATGTTTTGTGAAGGGTTTCCTACTGTATACTCCAGCCAACCAGACTGCTCCCATTTCATAATGCTGTGTGGTTAGTATGTTGTATGTTGTCTTAGGTTTTCTCCTAAGGACTGGCTTAAGCACAAGGACAAAGTCAGCTTCAACCTTTGGCTGTGATTTGTGGGAATAACTCATGGGGGAAAACAAAGAGCTACTGCCATCCCTGCTCTCCGCGGAGAAGGGGCAACAGTTCATTTTCCGGGCGTTACCCGGCTGCAGTACAAACCCTTCTCCCTCTGGGTGAATGACAGCACCCAAACAGAAGGGAAAAAACCACAGCTCAGTTAGGTGGTACTTCTTTAGATCAGTAACAAAGGCTATTATTTATTCATGGCCCAGCATTCAGAGTTCAGATTTCAGCTGCTATGTGAAATTACAAAACACTGGGGAATGTTTTAATGAAAAGTTTTTGGTTGTTTGTTTTTTGTGGTTTTGTTTTTCTTTTAAAGAATTATTTTGACAGAAGAGACAAAGATTTTCAGGTAAGCACAGGCTGTACCTCCCACAGACAGCGTATCTCACAGTACTAGACAATTATCATTAGGAAGTAAAACATTAACAAACGCATTTAGATGCTTTGTAAGTACGTTTAAATAGAAAAACACTTATGAAGTCTGCATTGGCATAGAGCTGCAGAAGCGAGATCGGGTGAGCCATGAGGGGGGAAAGAGACAGTCGCAGCCCATCTCATCCCTCGATGTCAAAATGCAGAGCTGTACTGCTGCTGCTGCCTTGCAGAATCCTAAAAACCTGGGTAGCAGCTCTCACTTTAGTGGAGTAGACAGAGTTTCAACATCAAAAACTCATTAGCACCCAGTCCGTCAATACCCATCAGAGTGTTTAAATATCTTGTACCCACACGCTCTGTGGAACTGCCCAAATACATCTAGTCTTACACACTGTAGGATTTCAGACCCGGGCTGTGTTGGAGCAGCGTATCAGAAGGGAGAAGCGCTGGCAAATTCTAAGACCTTCTTTACAATGGGAAACCTCAGGGTCCATATATTAAGAAAGATAAAGAAAAGAGTGACTCTACAGTACAGTGTGATGGCTACTGTGCTGGGCTGTCACAGTTAGGGCCCAACAATGTGACGACAACAGCTGGTCTCAGAGAAGGAGGCTCAACATGAAGGTGCAGCAAGCTTGATGTGCATGTCTTGGTTTCGCAAGTATTTATAAAAACGTTCTAATAGAACAAACATGAGATCCTCTGTTCAGATAGATTTTCACATACATTAGAATAAGCTTCCTGGAGCTCTCTGTGCTTCACCCCCACTCAGACTTACGCTCCAGGTTTTCTTCCCTTGCTCTGAGAGCTCGCTCCCGCTCCTGTAACTGTATTTCCTTCAGTTTCAGCTCACTCAATACAGGGCTGGAGTCCTGCAACTTTCCTGGTTCTCCTAATCGCTGCCCTCTTATCTCAGAATTTCTCCTTTGCTCTTCTGCAACCAAGTCTGCTATCAAAGGATTCTCAAGAATTTCTTCAACAGAAGGTCGATGGTAATCCTGGGAAAAAAATATTCAGTGTTACAGGCACACTACATAATGGACTACTCATCCTGAAAGAGCAGTTACATTTAAAACAGCATATATTTCCAAGGCAAGAGAAAGGACTCCTTTACAGATGGGGGTTTTTTTTTTTTTTTTTTTACTTGCGCAGCATTATAGTTCAACATCTGTATATACTACAGAGTGATCACCACCACAAGTTCAGTTACCATCCATCACCATGCAACTGACCCCCTTTGCCCATTCCCCCCACCCCAACACACACACATGGGTCTTAAACACCTGAAAAATAAGTTCACTGGTGGCTTTAACTCATGAGGTTCTGGGTCCACAAAGTAATGCAGATTTTAAATTATCTTTGTTCCCCCTTTTAACCTAAGAAGGCTCAATCCCTGTGCTGTGCTGGGGAGCGTTGCTAGGGTCGGTCTGTTTCAGGGCATGTACTGCCCTTGCATCTCCAAACTACATTAAGCAGGGTGCTCTCTCACCGACCTTCAATCCTGTTACTTCACCTGCATCCTTCCTTCTCTTTGAACTCCCACAGCATTTAACTCTATTCTTACACAGCCTGATCCCTAGGACATCTCCCTCCCCATCCCACTGCCAGATTTTTTTCTACATAATCTCTTTATTTCCCCTCTACTCTTTTTAGTCAGCGCTCCCCCACGATTCCCATCTCTAATGATCTCTAATCTCTCAGAGCTAGAGGCAGAGTAATAAGGTATTATTCCTGGCCCCTTCCTGTACCACCTGCCACTTTGAGGTAGGCAAGGACAAGGGGAACTGAGGATTTGGATCGTTATTGCAATCGTTCCTTGCTACCAACCATCTGTTAGCATGGCAGAGTGGGAGGAGACATAAAGAAAGCACAGAAGGCAGGCCTGCAATGTGCCAAGGATACATGTTTTCACTCGTGGTAACAGTAGATTTAGCTAAAGAAATATATTTAATGTTTCTTTAGACTCACTGCTCCACGAGAGCATACACTGCAAAACTTAGCTGAGAGATGGAAACATACAGTATATCATCTTATAAACTTTACCTTTAAATTTAACATCCTTGTAATAATGTCATTTAATTCATCAGAGTAACGATATGGAATTCGCCTGAATTTGCCTTCTCTGATCTTCCCAGCTAGTTCTTTCTGGTTGAAAGCTGTAAATGGAGGCCTGGGGGAAAAAAAAATTTTTTTAATGTAAAAATGAAAATATATAATAAGAAGCAAACCAAAAGCAGAGTTTAAGGTCTAGTTTGTATTTATGTTTCTACTTCTGGGATCTTCTTCTGTAGCTAAGTTTCCCAACCTTGGCACTACTGACATTTGGAGCCATATGATTCTGTTATGGGGACTGTCCTGTGCATTGTTTAGTATGTTCTGCAGCATCACTGACCTCTGTCCATTAGATGCCAGTAGCTATCCCTAGTTGTGACAACTAAAATATCTCCAGACATTGTCAAATGTCCCATGGGAGGCAAAACTGGGGGGCAAAATTGCCCTTCGCTGGTTGAGAACCATTGCTCTACAGAATACTTTAGAAGGGAAAAAACAGAAAGAAAAAAGGGAAAGAATCAGAACTCTTTCCTGTCCAAACCCTAGACTGCTTCTCTAGATCTTTATTTCATTTCTTCCACAGGCTTAACCTATAGGCTCTCCCCTTGAGCTAAGCTCAGTCTAACAGAGAAACATCTAACCAGGTTAGAAGCTTGAACAAGTCTAGATCCAGCCTCAGGGATTATATTATTAATTTGTAAATAATTTTTTTTAACCTGTCCATCTACCTTAATTTTAACCCACGGTATGATTCTTTCAGACTTGAATGTGCATGGATGCTCAAAAAGCTGAACCCGGTGAAAGGTGACAAATCTAAGTGTAAACCTCAGACTAAAAATCTGTCTTCATTATACTTACATTAATGCACACAATTCATACAGCAAACAACCTAGTGACCAGATATCTGACTTCTCATTGTAGGACATGTGATTCATTTGTTCCTTAAGGGGGGAAAAAAAAGGTAAGAAAATAGGAGTTTAAAGTTCATTTTGTTTTAAAACTTATAAAATTAGTCCTGGGACAAAAATGGAACCTTAAAGTTTGGTAATATTCACTCAAGGAAAAGAAGGGAACAAATTTTATATTATAAATATTTTATATCTATAACAAAAATTTCAAATACAAAAGGCTGATTACTCTTACATTAGATCTTGTATCATAACAACAAAAAGATGGTACTTTATACTTTATATTCAAATTTATAATGGAAAAAAGGCAATGATCTTATCCTAATACACTTTGTCATATATAATTCATTCACTTATTTTTCATTCGCAAATATTTATTATGTTACTACAGGCAAGGCACTGGCAAGTTAAAGGTAAACATGAGATAGCTCTACCCTCTACCCTCAAAGAATTCATAATCTAGAAACTCCATTTTAAAAGAACCAGAGAAAATTCTAGAATAACATCTAGCCCACATTTAAATTAATATAGACATAAATGGCTAATTGAATCATTCATTTATATATTTTCCCCTTAGCCCACTTATATACCACAGTAGTAAGTAATATTCTCACTTCCTATTTTAATTGTTTGCCTTTCTTCCACACGTACAGTAACAACCGTCCACCATGGCTCTTATTCTCAACAGAGGGCACAGAGGCAAGTACTGTACTGAAATCTTCAGGAGTCTTCTTAGTAATTTAAAGTCCAACAGGAGAGTCTGGTACCACTTCCTGACAATCCCATAGGGAAGGCTAAACTGATCTATTTACAAGGGCAGGGGGAAACAGGAACAAAAGAATTGTGCAGGTTTCAAATTTTCCAAGAACCACCTCTGGATAATTTTCCTTTATATCAAAGGCTTTCTATTTGGAATCTGATCCAGTAAGAAAACGACACTGCTCTGGCCATGTCTAATCTGAGTCAAAAACAAAATCACTGGGCTTCCCTGGTGGCGCAGTGGTTGAGAGTCCGCCTGCCGATTCAGGGGGCACGGGTTCGTGCCCCGGTCCGGGAGGATCCCACATGCCACGGAGTGGCTAGGCCCGTGAGCCATGGCTGCTGAGCCTGCACGTCTGGAGCCTGTGCTCCGCAACGGGAGAGGCCATGGCAGTGAGAAGCCCGCCTACTGCAAAAAAAAAAAAAAAAAAAAAAAAAAAAAATTCACTAATTTACAAAGTTTTATACTGTAGTCAGATTGGTTAACATAACTAAAAAAGACTGAGAAAATCCTGAAAATGTTTGTGAACAGCTAAAAAAACAAATTTTTCTCCAGCTTTATCTGCTCATCTTTCATATACAACACATTGGTGCTATCACTTATTGATTTAAGCTTTTCAAAAGTCACTAGAGAGCCATAAACAGTTCATACACTTTGACCCAGAAATTTCATTTCGAGAGCTAAACACCAAGGAAATAACCAAAAAGGAAGAAAGAATAATTCATACAAAGACATGCATAGCAGTGCTCTTTAGAATGGTGAGACATTTTGGAAACAAAATATTCAGCAACTGAGGAAACAGGTAAATGGGTGGACTCTGCAACTGCACTGTAGGAAAAGGCAATAAAAAAAGAATAAGTACAAAAAGTTAACACTGCAAAAATATGTTGTCAGAAGTGAGTGAGCCTCCTGAGCCCTGAATCTCCATGCACACGAATCATCTAGAAGGTCTGTTAAAATACAAAGTCCAAAATAAAAAGTGGTGGAGGACAAACAAAGAAAAAAAAAGTTGAGTGCAAAGACCTGTCCAGAGATCCAAATTCACTGGATTTGGGGCTCAGGACTCTGCATTTTAAACGATCACCCCCAGATGTGTTCCAGCTGGTGTCCAGGACCTATGGCACTTTGGGAAGTGCTGCTCTTGAGGGCAGAGACAAAACCTATCTCATCTTTGTGATCCCAGAGCTTAGCACTTGGTAGTCATTCAATGAAAGCTTGACTTATATTGCTAATACAGGAACTTAATGGTCTGGTGGTCCATTTGGAAAAATATAAATTTAAAATAAAACAGTATTGTTAATTCTTGGCTATTGGATATTACTAAACAAACAAAAAGTTGAGTGTTTAGCATTAAGATGTGTAAAGAGCATCTAAATTCTGAAATACTTACAGGAGACATATAATAAGGTGTGCCAACAAATGTTTTTGCAAAACTCGTATCATGGTTTAATATCCTAGCTAACCCAAAGTCTCCAAGCTTAACGTTTTGCTTGCCATCCAGGAAAACATTGGCTGGTTTCAGATCCCGATGCAGCACAGTATGACCACCATCACTTCGTCTGTGACATTCCTTCAGGGCCAGAGTCAACTGAGTCATCACTCGAAGAACAAACTCTTCATCCAAGTATTGTCTGAAACCAAAGCAGTTATATAGCCTATAACTTCGGAATAAAACCATTACAAAGATGGGACGATGTGAATTATCCAGTTTTCAAAGTGTACACATAGGGAAATAAATTGATATGAAATATGGGTGCTGACATACCAGGGATTTTCTAAAGTGCCATGGACCCACCAAACAAACACCAGAAGACTCTTCCCCATTACTAAGTACTCTGTCCCTGATCCTAATACAGGATGCTTAACAGAAGCAAAACTAGGCCCATTTAAGAGATTTTTACCTTTCCTTGGTCCCCTTTGTAATTGCACTAGCCAGGTCCCCTCCTTCACAATATTCCATTACAATGTACAGTGTTGTGTTGGTACGGTCAATAATTCTATCATAGTATCGGACGATATTTGGATGCTTCAGCTCACGAAGTAAATTCACTTCAGAAACAAGCATGTGTTTCTCAGCTTCTGTCATGGAGCCATAGTCCAGTTCCTTCCAAACTAAGATCTGAAATAAAAATTTCCAAGGTACAAATAAACTCATTATACTCAAAACCTTTTTAAAAACTAAAAAATTACTTCTCTACTAAGTAGATCATACAGTGACATCATCTAATGTAGTTCAATGAACCTAAGGACCCCTGAGTTTACTTCCATAATCTTCCCCTAATTTTTCAGCAGTAAATGATGCAAGAGAGGGTGACGAGGTACATTAGGCCTCCGCCAAACCCCTAACCTCCGTTGGTTAGTCAAAGCTGGTCAAAGCTGGGGCAGAGGTAGTCAAAGTCCTTGAGCATTCCAAGTCAAGATTTCCAAGGTAAGAGAACTTAGTAAAGGTCCTAACGTCAGAGCCAATTTCCTCTCCATTGTTTCTTTGTGTAAAGTCTACCTACACATCTTGGGAAATCTGAATCCAACAATCCGAATAATGGGTATTTTAAATGAATTCTGACTACAAGACATAAAAGTTAGAGGTGCTGATGGTCATGACCGAGAGGGCTCTTCTCTAAAAACAGCTCAGGAGGGCTTCCCTGGTGGCGCAGTGGTTGGGAGTCCGCCTGCCGATGC